TTATTTATTGCCGTTTCAGTGTTGCTCATGTCTTTGTTGATGTTTTCATTGATGTTTTTGTTTCTGTTGATGTTTCTGTTGATGTTTTTGTTTATATGCTTGTTGACGTTATTTGTTGTTTTTGTGATGTTTTGTTGTAGTTCGTTATCCAATATTCAGGCTGTTTATATATATATATATATATATATATATATATATATATATATATATATGTTATGTGTGGATGTATATGTGTGATATATATATAAATATACATGTGTGTATGTATGTATGTCTTATATGTGTGTTTGTGTGTGATTTATGTATGTGTTATGTATGTGTGTTTGTATGTGTGTTTGTATGTTGATCTTACGTTCTCTAGATGAAAGAAAAGCGTAGACTTAAGAGAGTTTATTGTTATCTTAAAACTTCTACGAGTACGTACCAGTAAAGAATCATAAGATTATACACACGCACGCGCACGCACGCACACATACACGCACACACACATGCACACACGCACACACATATCTATATACCGTATGTTACATTTTTGGAGTTTCTGGATAGCATCACACTTAATTTTATCGCAATTTATTATTATCTAAGTTCAAAATGGTTAATTTGTGACGCGTGAGTTGTTTTTTGTTTTTAAAGATAATCAATACTAATTATTGTTGTTATTTTTTATCATTGTTGTTGTTATTGATGTTGTTTTTGTTGTTGTTTTTGTTGTTGTTTATGTACGCATGTGTTTGCCCAAAATGGTTTCAATTTTAATTTGATTTGACTAGCGATTCACGAATTTTTTTTATTGTCGTTCAAAAACAGAGGAATCTTTTAGCATTCGAACCCAATAACTGTGATTCACTAGCGCATCTCTCATACTGAGCGCACTTCACCACTACACTTACTGCAACATCATCTACATCGATGCTCGCCACTTTCAGTTGGAACAGGTGGATAGTTTCGTGGTGAAGGTCAATGGAGTGATGCGACAGAGGCAAGAGCACATCCAGCTCTCCACTATGATGAGTCGGATTGATTCGTACGATGTCGTCGAAGTCCCATCAGATGAGTGTTCATCTGTTAGTTATGGCGATGAAGATGAGGATGATGAGGAAAGGATGTTGATGATGATGATGAAGAAGAAGATGATTATGATGATGATGATGTTGGTGGTGATGGAGAATATGATGCTATTGATGATGATAACGACGCTGATGACCATGGACAGATCGTCAGCCAGCACTGCAAACTGGATTTGACTATGCCAGTGCCTGGATGTGGTCATCACGTGACGAGGAAGATCTTATTCGAAGGCAGTCTGAAGTTGAAGGACACTTATAATAAAGTACATATCATTATCGTAATAATTCTTCGTTTTTATAACTTCGCAGACACTTTTTCCTTATTATTATAAGCAGTTTAAGCAGTAAGAGTAGTAGTAGCAGTAGCAGCAGCAGTAGCAGCAGTAACGGTAGCAATAGTAGTAGCCGCATTTATTATTATCATCATAATTAGTAGTTATTATTACAACTATGAATAATTTTAAGATGGACGTCTACTGCTTCCTGTTTACTGACATGCTGCTGATTACAAAGCCATCGACAAGGAGGGGTGACAGGGTAAAGGTCATCAAGCCGCCCATGAGACTGGACAAGATAGTTGTCCAGAGCATGCGAGACGTTGGTCAGTTTGGAGATTTTGGATATCTTGAGTGAATTTTGTTATAGTAGATAATTTTTGATAGCTGTATTTGGTCATTTTTTGAAGCTCGTAGCTTTGGGAGGAAGAAATTATATTTTATTCAAAAAGTTTTTTATTTAAATAAAAAAAGTAAAAAATATACATAAACAGCACCACCATCATCATCGTAACAGCCATCATCATCACCATTATCACCATGGTTGTTGTGGTCATCATTATGATCATCTTCATCATCGTCTTCATTATCACGATAGCCAGCTTCATGATGATGCACTTGAATGAGTACAGCATGGCGCAGAGCGTCTACACATTCCACGGGGATTCAAAAAATTGGGTTGACCATCTTAGGAAGGCTAAGGTAGGTTAAAATGGGTGACCTTACCATTAGATGACTTTATTCTACGACGAATTCGTTGTTAATTGATTCGATAGACATAAATAGACATAATAGAATCAACGAGTCGTTTATTACATCATAACATGTAAAATAAATTTTGTGAATCTGTTAATGTGAAAAATGTTTCCAATTTCAACAGAAAGACTACCAGACAATTCGCTCAGACTACAGTCTACGAAACAGCGCTTGCACTGACATATCAGCAACCGACCAGCCTTCAAAACCGATCCTAATTCCAGACAAACGTTTCAGTAGTAATGACTCTCCGCAAGACCGTGCCACACAAGAAAGCAGTCAAACGCATCATCCAAAAAGAAAACCATCTTCGTCAACCGATCTGTTAGCAGACGATCACTCCATATGCAAATCCTCGGCAAGTTTTCCATTGGCCAGTCAAATTTCTCAACTTTCTGTTCCGATTTCATCCACCTCCATCAGTCGTTCAAACTCTGAGCACCACAAAGTCAACCCTGATGCGGTATCTTCATCTCAGGCACACGTCACTAGCGTTGATAGGAGGGGTACATCGAGTGACAGACTTCGTAGAAAGTTCAAGTTGAGGCAGTTATCTGGGGGAAGTTTGAACGAATCGAGTTAGTGCTTTCTATGAGTTTTTAATATTTGCTCTGAGTGCTGTTGCTCTTTTATAATTTTTTCTATTGTTCGCGATCCCTTTATAATCGTTCAATCATTTTTTTTATTTTATCGTTGTCGCCATACATTAACTTCCCGTATTTTTATTAAGGTGACGAGTACGATTTGGTGGCAGCGAACGTCGAAGTAAGACCCACACCACCCAAAACGACGATATTGGAACTCTGTTCGAGCACACCTTACTTACCCGTAGATGTAAAAAGTATGGAAAACACCTACGTTGGTGATTCTAACGTTTCCATTTCTACGCTTGTAACTCCAAGTATCCAGGTTCGAAGACCTTCGTGTCAGCATAGGAAGAGCATTTCAGAACCTTTGAAGCACTTTTTAACTGAAGCCAAATCACTTTCGGCGTCGGGTAGCAGTGAATACATGGACAGTCCAGACGGAGAATACAAACAGTGGCTGGACAACAATGTAGTGGCCGATAAAAACAGCATCAAATGTCTTTCCTCGTCCATGCATGACCTCAACTCGATACCGCCTACTATTATTAATTCCAATCTGAGCGGTTCAACCAGCCGTCTCTACGATAAGATAAAAACGGACTCAGTTGATACGATATCACTCGACGACAGATCAATTGATCCTTCTGGGGATTCCAATCTGTCAAACACACCTCGCGGTACTCAACTACAACTGAATAACTCAACAGAGAAACAACAGCCAACTGCAAATACTAACAACGCCACTTGTAACGTTAAAGATGACGAAGGAATAGCTATTGAAATTGATAATACAAACCTCGAAGATGATCCGATCGATGCTGGCGACGGTCCAGCAACGTCGAAAAAAGAAAGTACCTCTTCGGTGGAAGAATTTCATTTGTGTTGTTTACCTGAAGATTACTTCTGCATCCCGTCGTCCAATTCCTCCGTCATCGGCAGTAATAGCGATCAGCAACCACTTTCTCCAACCTGGAAGAAGCATCGACATCATCAGCTACTCTCCGTGACCGAAGTTTCGACTCAAACTCCGATCGAGTTTTTAATATCCGGATATTTCTCGATTGTAACACCGATTGATATAGACTACAACCAAAGATCAACTACTCATTCGAGATCTTTACCAGACATCTTTGATGTGTTGGCGGTCAATTATCTTAAAAATGGAAACACAGATTTATACAAGTGTCCGACAAACGCACTTCTAAATTCGCGTGTGTTACAAGCTAAATAGGGTAGTCTGTAGAACATTTTAGCAAATAATTAAAATAAGTGCACAGAAGCGTAATGTACAATAAACAGTAGAGTAAATAGCCCATTTCGATGTTAACTCATCGCTACAGAATAGAAAACGTTTGAGATTATTTTCGTATAGTTACATAAAATTTAATAAACCCCTACTTAATGCCTTAGATCAAACCAAATTGTTCATCATTGTCATATGTGATAAACTAGTCACTGTAATGTAATCGTCATAATTTTTAGCAGACTTACACGTTCTTAAGTAATTAAAATGTAATTAAACGATCTCAATATGTACAACCTATCACATAGTGCCTTCATTATTTGAATCAAACGTGTTGTAATATCGTGAAATTTTCATCTTGGTTCCACATCAATCAAAAGATAATATAATGACAAGCGTTTGTGTTGTTTCATATCTATTTACAAAAGAATTAAGTATTTAACTGAAATTAACAATAATCGTAACCAATTATATACACATATTGAATAAATCAATGACTGAAACATTAAGCAGATCGATATAATTCATAAAGTGTTAAGTAAATAAGCATACAAAAGTTTCGAAATATGTTTCGGTTGAAATAAATAAATTTATACAAATAATTAAATATACATCACACACAATCAATCATTAACAGATATCATGATTAGTTTTTTGAAAAAGCTGGAAACTTTGGAAGCTTAAATAAATAAAATAATGACACGGACAGACCACAGAAACATTTGGTAACCAAAATCCGGCGATGGTCACCCCTAATTCTGGTTGCAACGAACTAAATGTAGCAACCTGTATAACAACGTTTAGAAATCTGACCAAGAGCTAAATGACGATCATAAATTCGGGAGACCAAATGATGAAAACAAATGGACATTTAATAGAATAACAAGTTTAGTAAGAACGGGTAGGTACGTCTCAATAAAAAATTAAACCAAATTGTGACATCATACAGAATTTCATAACAGCAAATTTTTCTCAACGACATTTGACAACATAACAACGACGAAGATGACATGGCATGACATATCAGTATTGACACGTTGGTTGAATGAGATGAGGACATGTTTGAGACTCAGTGCATCATAGGGTTGCCTGGAAAGTCCCTCTCCATGGCGAGATGTCTCTGCAGGGCTTCCTGCTGTGCAGCCGCTGCTGCCTGGGCCGTCAGCTGCGATCGTTCCATTCAATTGTTCATTACAAATTTGTTGCACTGTTTCATGCACGCCAGCACAACACATTCAGACAACGATGCATAACACACACAAGCAGACATACGCCGGCACTGACAGACAAACATAAATACAAGAAAGAATACTAACATTGCTCATGACTTGTTGGGCGAGCAGAGGATCGGCATTGTAAGGAGGCCTGGACAGCAACTCCATGTACATTCGTTCCGGATCTCTGGCGAAGGCATACAAGGGGTGGTTGGGAGGGAGGTTATGGAGAGCAGATGGGAGCGGAGGAGGAGGAGGAAGATGACTTGATGGGAGATTGCTTGAGGACGATGACGATTGGCTCACTGCTGAAGCCAGTGGGTCTGCTTCTATGGAAATTTATATTTTGCATTTGAGTTCGTGGGCGCGAACAAACACAAACACGTGCACAATTGTGCTTGCATAATGACTACAACTACTAACTGGCGAAATGGTAGACGAGATGAACGCTCTCCTGAGCTTTGCTGGCCATGTAAGCACTGACCTGCCTCTGCAACATGTTGGGGTCGTGTGCATAACGTTGGTACAACTGCAGCAATGCACCCTCCCTGGCCATCTGCTCCTGACTCGACCGGGCTATTTCTGGAGGGGGGAGGGGGTAAGAAACATCATGGATAACAAATATTTCTAAGGAAGGATAACAAATAACTTTCACTCCAACGTCAAAACGGTCTGCGTTCAACAATGAATTGTACATCAAAGAAACAAGTGAACGGAGGAAGAGAAATTAAATCAATCAAGAGTGACTGACGCTCCAATCTCTCCCGCTGCATGAGATCAGCTGACAAAATTCCTGGGGGAGGAAACATTCCTGAAAGATGGGAAGGGGGAGGAGCTCCGGATGGAAGAGGAAGTTGACTGGCCATCAAACGTCTCTGCATGTCGATCCATATCGGATCCAATGAGGCGCCAGGTAGGTGGGGCAACCTATCAAACCCTGCTGTGATTGGTCGGTTAGTTCCATGAAAACGTTTTCTTCAAAATGTGACAGCAAGACGTTTAAAACAACAAACGAACCGGCTGCAGCAGCTGATTTGAGCTCGAGCTCCTGTTTCAATTTCTCCATGAACTCCATCTCTCGCAACTCTCGTTCCCTGACATCTCGTTCCCACGCATGTTTGTCCATGTCCAGTTCCATTCTTCAGTGACAATCAATGCAACGACGTTGTTCAATGTAACAATCATGTTCAATGATATACAATGGTAAAAAAACAACTTCCACATTGAAATATACACAAATAAACATTCGGCAACAAATTGAAGTAAGTGCTAACGCTTCTCTGGAACCAGGTGGGAAGATTCCAGGCAGTCTGAAGTAATCCTGGATGGAATGGGATGGTGGATAGTTCATCAGGCGCTGGTTCCCTGCGGTTCGTTAATTTGCATAACAATCAATCAATCACTCAACGAACAATTGCAAGACATAATAAGAACGAACGACAATGACGAGCGAACCAACCAACCAATATGTGGTCTGGCATAAGCAGAAAGTTGACTGAGAGCTGGGGTGGGGTCATGGAACATTCCAGAGGCTGCAGCATTTGCTCCTGTTCCGGATCTCTGGGACATCCTGTCAGAAGAGGATCCTGCAAACGGAGGAAGATGGTGGGAGGAGCCAGCGTAGGAACTCGTTATCTGGGCGTCTGATGATCTGCTGTTGTTGTTGTTTTGCATCGGTGATTTCGTCTGCAAATGGAAAAATATTCAAATTAATAATCAAAATTCAATCTATATATTCGATTGGTTATTGTTGAAGGAACCCCCGATCTCGGGGAAAATGTCGTCTAAACGTGTGCTGTTGTTGTTGTTGTATTGTTGAAGGAACCAATAAAGGAACCTTATCATCATCCTTCCTTCCTTCATTCCTCCTGCCCTCCTTAGCACTAGACTGATGATGGTGACTAGATGACGACGACTTGTGATGCGACTGATGACCATGGTGATGATGGCCGGACGACGAAGATGACGACGACGACGACGAGGATTTGTTGAGCAATCTCTCCTCCTTCTTCATCATCCACTTGGAATTCTTCTGGGGCAGAAACTCCAGATCAGACCTCGAGCACATGTTACCTCCTCTGTTCCACCTCCTTATGAATCTGCAGTGCATGAAATGTTGTTTCTTTGTGTTCTCTTCTAATTGGATGGAATGTTCAAGAGATGCTCACATGATATGTTTAGAGAAACAAACTTTAGCAGTAAGTTTAAATTGTGAAAACATGTAAAGAGAAAGAAAATAGAGAGAGAAAGAGAGTGAGAGAGAAAGAGAGAGAGATAAGAGAGAGAGAGAGAGAATAGAGACAGAGACAGAAAAGAGTGAAGAGTTTTTGCAAGGAACGTACATGGAGTTGGCTGAAGAGTAGACTTGTTCACTGGCAGGTACGGCAGGAGGACTTGGACTTCTTGCAACATTGCAATCAACATCAGCACCGCCATCATCGTTCTCGTCGTCATCATCATCTGATATGTTGTGACATATTGGCTCTTGTTGTTGCGGCTGTTGATGTTGATGAGGTTGTTGTTGCGAATGTTTTTGTTGTTGTTTTGAATGGGTGAACATGTTGTTGTTGCTGTTGTTACTAGCATTCCTATTGTCTGAATAATTGTTGTTATTGTGGCTTGAAGTGTTGTAATTGTTGTTGTAACTGCTGTTGTTGTTGGTTGTTGTTTCTTTGCAACTCTTTATGCTCATATCTTCAGGCATGTTGTTGGTTGATGACGACGAGATGAACGATGATGATGATGATGATGATGGTGGTGGCATGGAAAATGAGTAAGGTACTGGGTAGGCCAATGAAGAATAAGAAGGTTGTTGCAACATGGGTGTTGAGTTTGATGGTGATGAAGATGATGACGACGACGATGATGTCGATGATTGTGGTGGTGGTGGGGGTCTGCCCTGCATGTTCATCACGTGATGAGATTGAGATGTGAATGGTGATTTGTAATGATTGGTGAGTGCTGATGATGATGATGAGACAGAAGGTGAACTGGACTGTGAGGATGACATCTGAGTGAATGATGATGATGACAGAGATGATGATGAGGAGGATGAGGAGGAGATGAGTTGTGATGATGATGATAATGACGTTGATGGTGGTTGGAACGATGACTGATAATGTTGACCAGCTGTTGAAACTCCATCTTGAAATGTCGGAGCCACACTGGCCACCGCTCTCTGAGGCTTAAAATCTGAAAACATCATTGATGACGACGACGACGATGACGTCATTGAAGTTGAAATGCATGGCACCTCGTACTTCACAGTAGCACTGGAAGGCAACAACATCGATGATGACGACGATGAAGACATCACCATGTCCTTAGTAGCTTCATCATCTGCCGCACAACATGTTGATTGGTGCACAGATGCAGGCAGCATGTCTCCAGGAGTTTCGTACTTCACGATGCCCGAAGATGCTGTTGATGCAGCTGATGAATATGCCGATGAAGCCAGTGAGGAAGCAATGTAGCCATCGTAAGCAGATGAGGATGTCAGCTCTGGTGATGAAGAATAATCACATTGGCAGACATTTCCAAACAAGAAATTCATTCAAACAACGAAATAATACAGTTCAATGAACAAAAATTAACACAGCATTTACAACAACAACAAGGGCACAGTAGGATAGGCAACAATACATACAATGAATACAACGCAACTGAAACAATGTAGAGTTGGTAGATAGATAGGACACAACCAGCCAACCTGTTTTGACAGGCAGTGAACCACTCATCAGTCCAACTTTGCCATCTTGACTGCCTTCCAACTCCTTCTTCTTCACATCACTGCCAAACTTTTGAATGATTTTTAATGGTTTTGATGAATTTATGTGACTAAATGATGAATGTAGGTCACAGCGAATTATGAAAGTAGGTCACAAAATGATTGACATCTTGATAGCCAACCTCGCTGTCTTCCTTGACAGGTCTGAACATGAAGGGAGGAGCATCGTCATCCATTGCACTGTGACCAGCGTCGTCCTCTGGACCAATAGGATCGCAGGTAGCAGGGGCATCATCATCGGTCTGACCAATCATAACTTTGTCGTTGAGATGGCATTCAGAGCAGATGACGTTGTCCTTGTTTATTTCATACCAGCGGTTGGATTCTGTGGTGAAATATTTTGCATCAATACAAGTTGCTCCAAATTGGTTGCACCATTTTTAAACTAATTAGAAGACATTAAATTCTGAAGGTAGAGGACTTACTGGTAACAGAACATCTGCTGCAAGATGAAGTGCTGTGATTGGCTGCAGAGGTGGTGGCAATCAAACTTGATTGGTTGATCTCTTCATCTGATTCCATTTCTGATGCCTCACTGGCCGAACTCATGTCATCCACTTGAAGCAAATATTTACATACTTGAGTAAAAGAAATTGATAAAAGAAAACGAATAAAAATTTTTAGACTTGAATAAAATTCAGATGAACAAATTAGTTAATAAGAAGGAGATGGAAGAAGAACAGACAATCATCTTCTTGTGGAAGGGTGGGGGTGGGGGCCTGCCTTCTGAATGCGGGTCGCCTGTGTCTTCGATGCGGTCGAGTCGTCGAGGCAGCTGGAGTCTTCTTCCACAGGTAGTAATATTCAACCAGGCTGGGCTGTCAATGAAAAATGGATGGATGAATGAGTGAATGAATGATATCTTACAGAGAAATGTGGATGAATGGATAGATGAATGAACAGATGAATGAATGAATGAAACCCAACAACTCACGGTGTCTTTGTATGGAAGCAGATCTTTACGAATTTTGAAAAAATTCTTTCCATGTTGTTTCAGACCCCTCACAAACTTTTTCTGTCAATTATTTATAAATGAACAATAAACAAAAGAACGAACAAATGAATGAATGAATGAAGTGAATAACTGAAAGAATAAAACAAATAAAACAAACAGCATCTTCATCGGACCATCTCTTGTCGACACTTTTTGGATTGATGATCTTAACCAAAGCCTGTAATGCTTTACCAGTGTCATAATTGTGCTGATGGAGCTGTGTGAGTGTGTATGTGATTGTTTGTATGTTTATGTATGAATATATATGCATGCACGAGTATATATATATATATATATATGTGTGTGTGTGTGTGTTTGTGTGTGTGTGATTGCATACAAATATGAGAGAAGTTTTGTACCATATGAAGGGAGTTGATGGTAGTTTCATCCATGGAGGCAGCAGCACAACCATCATCTGTCGACCCACCATCGCACCATCCTACAAATGCTGCCATGCTCCTATATTTTTTTAAAAATTCTATTTAATCATTTTTGAACAATTTTATTTAATTATTACTTTTGAATTATCTAATTGAATTAAATAAAATAATAAATGGCTAAAATAATGAATAATAAAATAAATCAAGCAATTGAACCTAGCAGCCCTCAGATACATGAGCAGATCTCCATCCATTATACAATTTGGATACCACACCAACGTCTCCAGATGCTCATTCCTCTCCTCACTTTTTATCTCACCAATCAGAGCAGGCAGCTTGGCCTATTATTATATTATAATAATTATAGTATTAAATATTAATATTTGAAATGTTATTTTAGGATTTCTATTTTTAATTAATTAACATTATTGTTCAAATTTTTGAATCTTTTTCAAAATTCAATTAAATGTTAGCACTACTAAAACAAGACTAAAAAAGGATGACTGTGCTGAACATGAACTATACTATGAAGGTATGAAGAGAATTGTAAAATTTTTAAAACTTTAATAAATGCAGGGTTACAAAATCCAACTCGCCTGATGATTGGACCCAACTTGAATTTGTGCTGGAGCGGCGGCCAGGTTTGATATTTTGATTCTTTTAAACCTTAAAGCAAATTAAATTAAAATTTGGGACTTAAAATAAATAAACACGTAAGTAAAGTTAGCGTTGAAACTATTTGTAGATTTTTTTAATCTACCCCCTAGCGAGTTGATTGTTTAGAGTTTTTAATTTAATATTTTAATATTTATCCTTTAAAAAATATAAACTAACGTAATTTTTATCAATCTATTAAGTTGTAAAATATGTAATTATTTTTTCTGCTATTTTGTTCAATTTTTTTTATAAATAGAATAATAAGAAATAGGGTTTTCACACGAAAACAGGTGTGTATGCTTTTCATATAGATTTGTTTACATGACATTGGATCATATTTTTAAAATCATTTTATAAATGTCATTTTAGAGAAAAAAAGTGAAAAATTTGTAAAAATTGATATTATCAAGAAGCATCTCATTTGCAAACATGGGTAACTTTAAACAATTTCAGCTATTCCAGTTTTGTAGTAATCGTCGTAATGATATCAGCAAATATTGTAAAATTTCGTTTTATAAAAGGCGTATAAAAAAGACTTTTTGATAAATTTTTAAATTATTGGTTAAGAAAATGAACTCATCATTTTTCTTACACATTAGGTATATTGTACTATGTATTATACCACCAGCTTATAACTACCCGAGATACATTTAATACACACATCTTGTTTGTATACGAGATGTGTTATTCTCTTTCATAATCACTCAGACATCGTTTATTTAAATGTCTTGAAGTCATGTATTAATTATTGTGATTGGACTGAAAAATAATAAAAAGTTAGAAACTCTAACGTCTGTTCTGCGCCATGACCAGGTTCAAACGCAAACACATCTTATTTTATCATAAGCTGAAATGTAAAATGTATTCTACTTTAATTTTTACTTATTCATGTATTTATGTTTGTTTGTTTGTATGTATGTATGTACGTACGTACATACGTACGTACGTAGGTATGTATGTATGTATGTATGTATGTATGTATGTATGTATGTATGTATGTATGTATGTATGTACGTACGTACGTACGTACGTATGTATGTATGTATGTATGTATTTATGTATGTATGTGTGTGTGTGTGTGTGTGTGTGTGTGTGTGTGTGTGTATGTGTGTGGCCTGTGTGTGTGTGTGTGTGTATGTAAGTACATTAGTTTTTTGTTAAAGCATGTCTTTAACTAATAAGAAATAACTAAATTTACATTTTATTGCAAATAATTGATTAAGTTCTGGGCAGTAATAATTTTAAATAACATTTTAACATGCAGGTTCAGCGAATTCAAAAGCTAAAAAAGTTTGTGTTTCATACCCTTAAAATACTTCTCACTGTTTTTAAATTTTTGAACCACGTTGAAACGTTTTATTGCGAAAATATTAATATATCAGTCTAAAAATAAGGAAAAAAATAAATTCGGTTGTAGAATAAAATCAAAAAGAACTACACCACATTCTATTTTTCACTTCCTGAGCCAGTGGACGAATTACCAGTAGACACGGTTATTAACCCTGTTTTGAATTTTATCATTACAATTGAAATATAGTATTTGAAATTAAACGCTGACCTGAAAGCTTTTCGATACTTTCTAATCTATTTTAACTTGACCTACCTATTCATAATCATATGCTATTCAGAGTTTATCTGTAACGAATGTGTGTGATGCTAGGTGTTTTATTATGAAAAATCCGACGAGAAGATTCTCGAGTTAATCTAATGCGTTTTTAGTAAAATAAATTATGATGAACATTTCATTTGTATGAACCCGGCAACAATTTTTTTGTTAAAGGGACGTGAATGGAATGGAGTAGACGAGTTTATGTTGTAGAGTTTTAAAACCAAATTTTTTTTATAACAATATGTTCATATTTTCAGACGATAAAAGCGTCCAGTAAGAAATATTCATTCAGTTTTTTTGTCAATTTTGTGGCTATTTTGATTTTCATACATATAACGGTTAAGAATTGTTAAATTTTTAAATATTTATACATTTTTTATATGAGAAATTCGGAGTATATGATCAAAAATTAATAAAAATCTTTAGGAAGTCCAATAAATGTTGGGAATGTCCGGGTACCTTACCCTAACTGTCACGGGAATGAAGCGAATTCTCCCGCTGTTTCTTTGAACGATGACGTCACCAGGGTTATCAATTACGTAGTTTTCTGAAAAAAATGTTACTTTGTTTTTGATTTTAAAAATATTTTGGTAAGTTCAATTGAATTTTTCGACCTTTATCATTCATTCATTCATTCATTCATCCATCCATCCATCCATCCATCCATCCATCCATCCATTCATTCATTCATTCATTCATTCATTCATTCATTCATCCATTCATTCAAGTTTTACATTTCCGATTTGTTTTTACACGCAGAGTCTTTCAAGACACACTTATCCATTGGGTTTGTTATGTTGGTTGACATTTTTTTCATCTGTTTATGACGGCTGTTTGGCCATTTAACCTCAAATGAATTTTTAACTTTTTAATTGATTGTTTATTTATTTAACTATTTATTCTTTCATTTTACTCTTCATTTATTTTATATCTATTGTTAAAATTAGACACCCAGCGAGGTCCATTGCCAGCAATTCCATTCAAAAATGCACCGATAGAATGTGCTGCCGAAAAATCTCCACCCCAACCAAAACCAAAACCCGAGCCAAATGAGTCGCCAATGAAGTATGGTGAAAATGTGTTTATATAACAGTTATTTGGAAAATATGATGAAACGATTTTTAACTTTTCACATTTCAAAAGATTGTTAGGAAGCAAAAAGTTCAAAGTTACAAAAGTTGTCAACTTTACGCCTGCAAAGGAGTACGTAGTAAATAGAGATTATGAAACCGTTACTACAAATGACGGTGCAGAACCGGCTGCTGAACTCAAACCTGCTGCTGATGAAGATGTTGTTAATGTCAAAAATGAGACGAAAGACTCCAGCTCGCCTTATGAATTTGAGGCATCAAAACCGGATGATGATGCTCAAATTTACGACTTTCAGTTAGTTAATTTTTTGCCCACGACGTATCATATAATATATATATCTCATCCCGTGGTATGATACCTAACAAATTAAGAGTAAATACTGTGACATTTTACGCCTCATTAAATTGTTCTATGTTGGAATTTAAAAAAATTGCGGTACATCGCTTTACGTCACAAGTTACGTCATACGTTCATTGCGTTATTATTAAAATGCTGAGCTTTTTTGCTGGTTTACAAATGACTAGATGGATCAGTTAATGTTGGAATCTCATTAATTGATGTTTTTTTTACAGTTACACGGAAACAGGTCGCCTGGAAGCAGCAACGTGAGTTAATGTTTACATTTTCATCAAAATAAAAACAAACGCTTTGAGACAGACAGACAGACAGACTGACAGACAGACTGACAGACGGGCGGGCAGACACTCAAACACACACTAATGCCCACAGAAACAACTCACTCGCGTACATATACATACAACCAACATTTGTATAGAAAAAAAACTAAATCAAACTAAATAAATTGAAAAAAATTTTGGCAAAGGTATTCAAAGAATGTCCAGGCAGTAGTTAATCCCATCGTTACTAATCAGACTAAATTAGATAGTTATGGGTCATTGGAGTGTAGTGATCTGAACTTGAAAAGTGAAGTTGACAGTACCGAGAGGCTGAAAATTGATTGTGTCGTTCATTACTTATGGAGGATCGAGGAAAGGCCAAATAATTCAGTGCTTGTCGTATCTGTCATTTTTGGGGAAGAAAATTCTTCTGTAAGTTGATTTTTTTTCTCCAAATATTGTGAATTATTTCTTAATTTTGTATGAACAACCGCGCATTGCATTCAAGTTCGGTCATTGCAACGGTAGCCTTAATCATTATAACACCTATATCTGTTTCAACGTTTTGAAAAATTAAAAACTCAAAATGGGAAAATTATTTTATCTACGCGAATGGGCAGAAATTCATGTCCGACAGGATGTGTAATGACGAGAGATACAAGAAATTCAACATGGAGAACAGGTTCCCACTGAGGATGATCAAAGATTTAGAGCTTGGCAATCCTGTAGAGATCAAAGTGTATGACATTTCTTACAAATGTGATAACGACGATATTGTTTTAGTTAGTATTATACTTATATTGCGTGTAGTATGTGTATGTATGTGTGCGTGTGTATGTGTATGTATGTGTGTGTGTCTGTGTGTATGTATGTGTGTGTGTGTGTGTGTGTGTCTGTGGTGTGTGTGTGTGTATCATGCAAGCGTGTGTCGTATGTGTTTTGCATGTCAATGTATGTACCTACTTATTGATTCCAGAAACCAATGACAAGAACGATACCGGTCTACGAGTACATTAAAGAGACACCACTGCACGTAGCTTTCCACATGGATGTGGATGTCCCACAGAGCCGTCTGAAGTTCACTCGGTTCACATGCAATGTCGTTCTTCTACATATTCCAGCTACATTTTCATTTTATCTCAAAGAAAATATTGAAAGCGTTAGTGTTGATAAATTTTATTAGGAAGGCGTTTTTTTTAACATTAAATCTCAACGAATTATATGTACATATATATCTATTTTATATATTTTTTGATGTTTAAATGTGTCAATAATGCAGCACCTCCCTATCTCATTAATAGATTGGAATCATACAAATCTCATTTTTCAAAGTATTCCTTCCGATCAACCGAGCGCAATTTATTTTTTATCCCGACTACAAAGTTAGCGACGGGTTCCCGCAACTTTGCGGTTCTTGGCCTGGTTGTTTGGAATGGTTTACCTCCTTACTCACGTGACTCTAACCTACCGTATTTACAATTTCAAAGTCAGCTTAAAACTTATTTATTAGCACAATGAACGTCCGTCTTATTTGTCTATAATTCAGTAGCGCTTTTGAGTTTCAACAATTAAAAAGCGCCGTATATAAATTTCCGTAATTATAATAATAATAATAGTATATATATATATATATATATATATATATATATATATATATATATATATATATGTTGGTAATAGACCATAACTTTTACAATATTCTATAAATTCTCCGAATGTTTGGCGTTAATATGTTTGTAGTTAGTTTTTTCAATTTTAAAATTGAAAAAACGAACTACAAACAAAAACGAACGCCAAACATTCGGTAGAATTTATAGAATATTGTGTATATATATATATATATATATATATATATATATATATATATATATATATAAATAACATGTTTTTAATGACTATTCAAAATTTATAATATAAAGTTTTCTACTAAATCTAGAATCAGCTTGACGCGTTAATCCCTGAAAAAGTTAACAAAACAACTGGCCAGTTGGGACAAGATCGGTCTGCCCCTAAAGACCCCAAAATCCACGAGATGGCGAATCATGCGTGCCTGTCCAATCAATTTCATACCCTACACACTTCAGAACAATATCGTTATGAATAAGTTTCTATGTTCATTTGTTTATTTTTCATTTTTTTATTATTATTTGACTATTATGCGTGAGATGTCTTACTGAAGATATAAATATATAAATAAATAATAATGGGTTTAAACGTAAGTTAAAGATATAGATATAGTTAATGATTAAGTTCAGTAGACATTTTCTTCAAAAATTTCGTTTTACCTAACTACCTATTGTTATATTTTTTTGTATTTGAAACATTATTCAGATGAGTTAATTGTGAAAATTTACACAATGTATCTAGCTAATATTTTTAAACCCATTTTGGTTGATATTTTCAAATTCTTATTTCAGTTTACCAGCAACGAAACAATTTAAAATAAAAGATGACCTATTGTTTTTAACGTTATTAACATGTACCCTGGGAGAGAAATTGATGTTTGTGGGAGTTGTTGGGACTTCTAAGAATTGTAAAAGTAGTTCTCTAGTTCAATTCCTCTACTTAAATTCCATGGCGTTTGAGATTTTATTTTAATTTATTAATCCAACAGCAAAACTTAATTTTTTTATTTATTTTTGCTTGATTTTGTGACTTTAAACTGTTTTGAGTAATTACTGTTAATGCATTGTTTTCTTTTTTAAAATTAGTAAAAATTTTTAAATGCATTAAAACTTTATTTGTCTTTCATTGCTGTTTGAAAATTTGTTTTTACAAAATCTTGTTATTACGACGTGATGTTATGCTTTTAAAATTGCCTTTGTTAAAAAAATGCTATGATATATTTTTTAACATCGGTCTATGTATAACAACTGAACAAACACACACAAACACACACACACACCACACACGCATGCACACGCACACAAAAATGCGTAATGTTTCTTTGAAAATTTACTTAATAAAATAGCTATCTTTTTTAGAAAACCCTTGCAATGGTCACAACAATGTATCGAATTAAACAGCCTGCAAAACCTGCTATGAATAAAAGTTAAAGTAACGGACTGGCTTTTCATTCATTCGTTCAATATGTCAGTCAGTCAGTCATTCGTATATTTTTTCAATCATTCATTCATTTGGTAATTCATTCGTTCGTTGGTTGTTAAATAATTTGCTGTTTAGTTAGCTGTTCAACAGCTAATGTTATAGCATTATTAAGCTAAGTTGAAACATAAATTACATGTCACTTGACACATATAATTTTCGATTTTAATGTAATTAAATGGGTTTCGTTTAATTGAACGGTTTCATTTTAATTTACCGAAAATTGCCGTGTTTTCGTAAAATTTTTGACAGACATTTGTTTTAACAGCAATATAAAAATTACTCAGCCATGAGTAAGAAACAAAACTTTTTAAGAAGAATTTTACCAAAGATAAAAATAATGTTATAGCATTATTAAGCTAAGTTGAATCATAAAATACATGTCACTTGACACATCTAATTTTCGATTTTAATGTAATTAAATGGGTTTCGTTTAATTGAACAGTTTCATTTTAATTTACCGAAAATTGCCGTGTTTTCGTAAAATTTTTGACAGACATTTGTTTTAACAGCAATATAAAAATTACTCAGCCATGAGTAAGAAACAAAACTTTTTAAGAAGAATTTTACCAAAGATTAAAAGGAATAAGCATTCCACGTCAGGTTCGTTTGAAAGTGTCCGCAGATATTTTTCACTGTTATGTTGATTTTAATTCATAAAACTTCTCCAACAACAACACCGTCAAAAGAGCGATTTAGAATGTAAAAAAGAAAACACAAACCAACAGACAAATTTTTTAATTTTTTTTTAATTAACAGTTTAAACAATATAAATGTACGTCAGTCAATGTATATTAACATTATTTTAAAGTCCGAACGTCGTTGTGTAAGTAGAAGAAATTCTTCTGAAATGTAGTTACTTCCAGGTTGTAGCAATTTTAGTTTATTAGAAAGAGTAAAGAACTGAAAATTAAATTACTAAAAATCGCTGGCCTGGGCTGCGAATTTGTAGGAGATGCTGGCGCGTTCAAGAAATTTCCAAAAAATATCTGGAAAAGAACCGAAACATGTGTTGGAAAAGTGGGCTGATGATTCACCGAGTGTAAATGAGATGTTTTAAAAAAGATGTTTAAGAAGGTTGGCAATAAAAAATGATCAACTGTAATAAAGGTTTAAGCCAATCGTGGCTGACTAGCGCCGTTTGGCCTATTTAAAAAGTTTTTACAAGACCTCACAAGACCTCCATGTATGATAATGTTTCAGTTGTTCTCCAGCTATCCTTCCATCTGGTTGTCTGCATCTCTTGAATCATCATTTTCCATTTCAAAACTAATGTTCATTGCTATAACTTATGTCTTTTATTTTTGCAATATGACAATGATCAAATATAACCACAGAATTAAACTTGAGAAGATGGTCAATCGATTACATCAACAATCGGTGGTTATATTTATTTAATTTACTTGCTGTCTTTTTTTCTTTCTTTGTACTTCTTTCTTTCTTAATTTATATTTATTCATTCGTGAAAATAAATTTAACATGAGAATCAGTAACTTTAAAACGTTAAGAGTCTGTATTTAACAATATCATCGTTCGTACGCTACCATGCCAAGCAACTAACTAAAGCAAATTATCCAGACTAAGTTTTGTTGATTATGTTCATATTTTAACATTTCTAAAAGTAATTATTAAAATTAAGATTTTTATCAGCTGTTACGTTTATCTCTCGCACATTTCATATTTTCACATTATTTCGAAATTATCATAAAAGTAACTACCTTGAAAACAATTTTTTTTAGCGATCCGAATGCGATCTACAGTTCTTTTTTGAATAACACGGTTCAGTTTCAGCTAGTTTATATTTTTGACAGCTGTTATATTTTAGCAATTTTTCACCAAGTTCCTATCATAGATGTATATTATTATATATTGTATTATAAACAATTATACATATTCATGGTACCTATGGTAAAAAAATGCTTCCTGATAAACATATTTTCATACCTAACTTTTGTTCTCATTCTTGTTAAGGTTGAAAACCGATGTTCCATTATTTTTATGTAGAGTGCATTAACTTTTCGGTTTGTCACGAGCGACTATCGAACCAGGTCACCCGCTGCGTAAATCATAACGCCTTTACTTTCTGAGCTAACTTGCATAATGATTTCATATAAGTAATGGCTGACGTTTTTGTAAAAATGAACAATTGTGTTAGTTGTTGAACATTAAATTAATTATATAAAAAAAATTACTTCACGCTTTTGATGATATTGCAAATCGAATTCAGGATGGTATGATAATGAACTTTGGGATAAAATTGCCGAAATGGAATCGGAACACGACTGGCCTGATGATGACGAAAGTGACAATCCATCTAATGAAAATTTTTCTGAAAAATGTCCTAAAGATTTAGGGTTAGTATACGTTTAGCTCTGCAAATCAAACATTAAAAAATATTTACAAGTCATTGAAAACTCAATAAATATGAATAATGAAATTAATCAAAAAACATTCGACAATCAAAAACTGTTAAAGTTGCAGAGACACGGATCAAAGCAATGGAAGCGTTAAAAGTCTCGATACTGCCGAAATTTGTGCTAATAAGTGTACTTAATAATTTTTATAAGTTTTGGTTTGTAATGTTCTAACTTTTCAAACAGCAGCTTTGCAAATTTATATAAAATATGATGATTTTAATTTGAGAATTCTATACAAAAAATATGCGTTGAGAAAAAATATTGTACGAACCTGCCAACTCTCCATCAAATAATTTCTGACTACATGCGCACTGAATACTTGCTCGCACTGAACACTGAATGTTGCTCATATTATTATTGATATTATCTTTTTAAAAATAAAATATAATTTTGTTCGATCCATTACATTAACTAAAATTCACGAATTCAAATTGAATTTTTTAAGACTTCACCAAGATTCATTGCTACAGAATGCACGGTAAGCTGTTACATTTTCAACTCTATTTTTATTGGAGTTTTATACAGCACGATGTACTTTCAAAAGGTCACCACAGCGCATGGTTGCGTCTTACGGTACCAGTAATGAGTCTAACAATCAGTGGAATGGAGGTACTAGAGGTAGTTCTAAAGTGTCTGACCTTTTTTTGCGCAGCTCTAGCAGTGGTCAGCAGCCGAAGTTAGTTAGCAAACGAACTATCGTTGTTATTTGTAATTTTTTATGACTTTTTTCAGAATAAAACGTTGGAAAAGTTAGTGAAAATGAATAGAAATAGCTTTTTTTGTTAAGGTGTTTATTCTCAAATTAACTCATCCAATTATTTTTAATCTGACACTTTCCCGATAGTTTGCGGAGAAATAACTTTCAACAGCAGTCTGACTGTCTCCCCTTGTCACCATATCCGCAATCTTTGGATCTAATCATTTCAAGAGAACGTGCACAGATGTCCTCCATCAAACTTCATCTCTATTTTTTAAAGAGGATCGAAGAGGGCGAGAATGTTTCATTGCTTGATTTCTCGGTGGTTATCGGAGGTCGACAATCATGTGTTAGTCCATCAGCTAATTTATTTTATTCCAGCTATTTTTTAAACTGTATTAATGAACCGTTAAATATTCAAGGAACGCTTATGCGATGACCTTCAAATGAAACAAAATTACCAAGAAATAAATGTCATTAAATGTGTCAAATTGAAAAAATTGCCCGGGGATTTCCTGTATTTCCAAATGTACAACGCCATGCACACGCACAACGATGACTACAATAGGAAAGTTGACGTGGTTTGTATAGTGTATTGTATTTATAATTCATGTGTTTTTCCAGTTTAATTAATTAATTAGTTTATTTTAATATTTATCTGTTTAATTTTAAAAAATTTGTTCACCAGCAATCCGTAGAAGCTCAAGAGCCACTGTACAACGAACACGCAACAGAAGAGCCCATACACGTTCATTTATTTTGCGATCTAAAACTATCGACGCTGCAGTTGAAAGAGAAAATTTTCTGCTGCTCATTCAAATTATCGCAAATCGTTGTCGGTTACCACAAAGTTATCGCTGACGTTCCCTTGAAATTTTTCTTGAAAAACAAACCTCAGGTTGATCCTGAATATTAAACTATATCTGTAAAGCATGAAATGTGGGCAATGTCATTTTTATTGTGGAATACAAACGTTATTATGAATCTAAAATGTGGTATTGGCTCTCAAAAACTTATAATTGCCATAATAATAACAATAATCATAATAATATTTTTGTTTATTCTTGTTTATGTTATTGTTCTGACGATGCTTAACTAATTTCGCAAATTTTTTCAACAACAAAAATACTTTCCAAATATTTTTTTTTGAAGATTTTAACGGCACAGCAGCTCTCAAAGGGGTGCTATAATGTGCCAGTAATTTTAATATTTTTTTCTTAATTTAATTTTATTTTTTTTTTCATAATTATTTAGTTATTATTATTACATCTTCAAAATCAATCACAGTCGAAAACTTCCCAAATATGTGATCAAATTAAAAAAAATATGAAACTATCAATGAGACTCGTTTGAAAATTCATAAAAAAAGAGAAGCAAACATTCTTATTGGTCAGAGGTTTCCGCCTTCACTCGTCATACTCTATAAATAACTATTGAAAAATTTTAATGAACATGTGATTATTTGAACTGAAGAAATTTTACGCTTGATTTAAATTTCCAACAGTTTGCTATTAGGCTGTGGCAACTGCTACTAACAATTTTACAGGTAGCGACTTTTATTAACCATTTTACAGGTAAGCCACTGCATCTTTAACTTCGCCTCCGTGCTATCGTCAAAAAGGGAAAATTACTTTTTTACCAAAACTTTCCTGCTATCATCAGCGTTTTGAATATTTTGATTTCGTCATCACAATTGCTCTTCTTGTTGTTATTAAAATTTAATAAATAAATTATTTCTTTCAAATAGAATGAAATTTATTTCAAGTTTTACCAATTTTTTTTTTGAAAATGTGGTTGTATCAATGGAGTACAGGTATGTAAGAAGAAAAACCCACGTAAAATCTTACCCAATAAAAAATTCAATTTTTCGAAACCTATTTTTACATTATAATCTGCACGATTTATTAAATGGCATTTGCTTAAACCAATTCATGCATTTTTAAATAAATTTAAATAAATTTATGTGTGAGTAGAAGGATGGATGGGTAGGTGGCTAAATGAATGAAGGAACGAGCAAGCAAACGAACGAAGAAATATATATATATAATTATATTTGCAGTGTTGATGAACCTGTTACGTTAGTAACTTTGTTTAAAAAAATAAATTTTATAATAAAGGCTTTCATTCAAATTTTCTCAGCTTAACATTTTTGTATTACAATATTAATACATCACAAGAATCATCTCAATAACCGTTTATTGATCGTTTATTACTCTTATTTTAAGTTAAATAAGACCAAAAATAAACAATTCACATTTTTAGGACATCAAGTTTTAAACCGAAAAACGTTACAAGCGTAATTATAGGTGGTGAGAAATCGTTAGCTTCTTATGATGCAACCAAACCACCGGAGCTACCAAATTCACGAAATTCTCCGAGTAACTACTACAAAGGACTGCAGTACGTACAAACATATCGTTTTTTCTGTTTTATTAATATTTATTTTATATTTTAAAAAAGTTAATAATAGTCAAGGCTGACAGCCTCGGGTTTTTATAATGTAACCAAACATTTAAAAATAGACATATCCGCAATATCTTTTTATATTATTATTTTTTGTTTTGTTTTTGATTTAGAAACTTTCATTTTTGGCCCGCTCATTGGTTTTTCTTTACATATTTTGCTGTTAATTTCAATTTTTTAATTTTTCTAATCAGAGTTGACTGAATTAAATTGACCAGGTTCACATAACTTTTTAATTTGTAAAGCACACGATGCTTATGAATAACACTCTCTTCATTTACACAGCTCAACATGCGTACAAGACAACGCATCATAAATTTTTATGATAGGCAGGGATCTCTTGGCATTCGAACCCAAACCAGGCCACTCCTCCTAACACAAAAAGTATATTACAATACCCTGGTGAAAAGGAAGAAAAAGTTTGAGTCTTTAAAAGAATATGTCAGTTGTTTAACTTTTAACATTTATTTGAATGTTTATCCTTATTTTTTAAAAGTTCTTATTTTATTTTCTAGCCATCAGCCGCCGAACCAAATAAATACAAAAGCCAATAAAAAAAAGTTTAAAGGTGGCTACGAAAATCATAAAATTGTCAGAAACAACAACAACGACAACGGCGATAAAACCTATACGATTATCAACAACGATTATCTTGGCATGTCTGCTCACGCTTCTGTTGCTGTTGCTGCTGCTTCTGCTGCTAAAAATTATCAAACAAACACGTCTAACATACTACCCGGCGATACTTTGACAACAAAATCTACTACGTCTTCCTTTGATTTCAGGACATTTTTTTCTGATTGTAACCAATCGGATGTATATTCTGTCATTGTTATGTATTTGCTTGACTCAAGAGAATCTATTTCCGATCTTAAAATTATTTTCCTCGTTGGTGGACAAGAGTCCTGCGTTAGTTTTTAGTTGATTAACTGAATTTTTTTCTGAATCATTCTTTCGATTTTTAATTCATATCTCGTCAAGAGGGTTGAAAATTTTAAACAAATTGAAGTTGAAAATGAAAATTTTTAATACTTATAATATAGAATAATTTGTCTTTTGAAATTATTAAAAAAAACTTCTCTATACTTTGTAAATTTTTTGTAACACAACTTCTATTCAGGAAAGTTTATGCGAAAAATTGCGATCAAAGCGAGAGTATAAGATGCTACATGATGTTCCGACGAGAATTTTGCTTGAAGGACTGTATGGGGCAAGCAAGGAAAAAAACTTTATATCAGCAAAAATGAGCAACATCGTCTACAAGTTTGAGAACAAGGAAGTCTCGATGGTAGATTTTAATTTCGTTTTGTAGTACTTATAGTTATTTCATTAGTTTTATAGATTGCCAAAAATTTTTTTTATTAAAGTTAAAGTAATTAGAATCGTGTTGTTCGACATAATTAGCCTCAGGTGGAGACCAGAAAGCAGGTGGTCGAATGCCTTTTTGATAATCCGCTGCACATTCAACTGTCCGTTCAGTTGGAGCTCCCAAGAAACCAGCTTAACGATACATTGTTCTATTCTACCGTCGAAATATGGCACAACAATTTGAACGTCAATCAAATGCCCCTGCAAATCTTTCTGCAAGAAAAATGTCATGTTAATGATTAACGATTGACATTTTTTTCTATTAGAAACATTCTGATCAAAACTTAATTGAAATAAATTGCTATGAAAGATGTTTTTAAGATATATAGAAAGATATATAGAAAGATGTTTATCGAGTTTGATTTTGTCTTAAAGCAATGATTATGATGTAATCTTGTGCCCATTTTCCTGCTGGGAAGTCTGCTGAGACGTGAATATTTATAAGATTCGTGCAATAATTGTTGCATAATTTTTTTCATTAACGTACATACTTTATATTAACAAACATCTTTCTTAGCATTTGGTTATTTAACATTCTTTTAACCATCTTCTGTTCATATTTTGTGACATTTATTTAATGATGATCGGTCTATTAAAGATTTTATTTCAGTCGTGAAAGTTTAAAATTTTGGCTTGAATAAATTTTATTCGAAGTTATCAGCATAGTTTGTTGTTGTTTGATTCGTCATTTTTATGTTTGAGTTTCAAATTGTTTCATTTGATTTTAAATAGTTTTGCTAAAAATTTATTAAAAATCCCCATTTAAAAAGCAAAATTTTAACGTTAACTCAGAGAATTGATAATTATTAAATTATATTAAACATAATTAGACCCTAAAAGAGAGGGCGTCGGAAGGAGCATTTGACATGGGCTTCCAAGTTTAAGGAACCTTTAAGAAAAAGCTTCTGAAGTAATGATATTAAAATGTTATATTTTAGAAACCATATGTTATCAATTTTCAGTATTAACACCAAAAGGCAATTTTCTGCTTAAAACCCACAAGTTTTATTCAAAAGTATTCAAAACAGTGCTATATCAATCGCATGCAACCCTTAAAATATAATCCAAATGAAGTGTAATGTTCAACTTTTAATTTTATGCCTACTGTCATATTGGCAAGTACTTGAATGATCGTTGACAAGCTACAGAAAATATGTGTGTGTGTGCAGTTTGTTTGTACGCTGTTTCTGTCTAGGTACTTTTTCAAAATAATAAGTAAAATAACCGAAGTTTTGTTGCTAAATTGGTTAAATTATTTATAAAAATCTGTATTTTTCAATTTAAATAAAAAATGTTGACAATATTATTACAGGGTAGCTAGTTAAATATGAAATTACGTTTGTAAATTTGGCGAATATGTTTTTTGGAATGTAGTTAATGATTTGAAGACATCTTTTTTATGGTTTACGTTATAGTTTACGCTGCTAACCATTCAGACAGTATTTTATCGTTGATCAATATGAACAAAAATATTTTAAAAAAAGATCTAAGAGAAGTGTGTAGCAAATTTTTCGGAAAAAGTTTCGAAATAGGACCGCACGACCATTCCGATAATGCTCCGATATTGACGAATATCAGTCGGTTCGTTTAATGATTGATTAAAAATTGTGTTACAACTTGATTTGCGAATTTTATAGGAATTTTAAGTAGTTTCTTTATTCTTGAATGAAATTTTTTTTTGAGGATTCATAACAGCGTCAGTAATTTGGAAGAACCCAGCCAAACTTCTAATGATTTTTCTCTCCACGAAGAAGAAACTCAACGGTTGATTGAAGTTTTTAAAGTTTGCTTCATTACAACAAGCTGTCTTTAGTAACAGTTTTTTCATGTTAATCTGTAAAACAGATACATTGCCACAAATTCTGCACCACCTTATTCCGCATGTCCACCCAATAATTCGGGATTCGATTTTCAGCAAACCAAAGAAGAAGAGATTGTGGTCTTCATTCTGTGGTGTGTCGACGCCAGGGAGAAGAGCTCCATCCTCAAATTCAATGTCATCATTGGCACCAGATGTGCTTGCGTTAGTGCTTGTTTAACCAATTAATTCAAATTTAATCATTTGATTCAAATTTAACTATTTGATTCAAATCTAACTATTTGATTCAAATCTAAATATTTGATTCAAACTTAGCTTAATTAGTGACAAAATTAGTAATAGTAATGTTTTCCATAGTATACATTGACGCTCTGAAAAATTGATATAGACGTGTGTAGGTATGTATGGCAGAAATAATGTATTATAAATTCAGAATAGAATGCGTTCGAACCAGATCGCGGCTTAATAAGGGCTAGTAAGACAGCGACCACAATCATTTTTTATTTCTCTAGAATCAAAAGATCAAGGAACTACAAGCCAATGCAGATTACAAAGTTCACGATGTAGTAACGAGCATTTCGTTAAAGGAGTTGCACGCAGCTGACAGCACGGGCATGAAGTTCCTCTCCGTCAGAATGATCAAAATCAAGTATAAGATTTTTAAGAAGGAAACATCAACTAAATCTTTAGTTCGTTTATTCATCTGTTCATCACCTATTCATCCATTTATTCATTAATTTATTCGTTCGTCCATTTGTTCGTTCGTTCATTTGTTTGTCCGTTCATTGGTTTTTAATACTAAATAAAAGTTTGCGTAAATGAGATCAGATTTAATTTTTATGAAACGTGAACTCTATTGAACATCCGACCAACACAGAAGAAGTTTGAAATCAACGTGCCCTATGTTGGGTGCCTCCAAGATTCGCCTCTTCACGTCCAGCCCTCTCTTGAACTTCAAATACCAGTCTCTCTGCTGGAATTTTCAAGTTTTAGCTGCCGGATTGAGCTCTGGTTAAGAAATTTTCAAATGTGCGTCATTCCCATGAGGTTTTTTCTGAAACCAGTGGCTCAGGAATCGTCGACTCAGTGAAGGATTCTAGGACGGAGTTAATCTAGGATATATATTTAACAAATTTTTGCAGACTGGTCTTTAGTTTGCGTGATTTTGTAGGATTTTTGATGAAATAAGCCTGCAAATTGACTCTGATGTAAATAAAATTATACAAAATTACTATTGTTCATCGAGTTGATTTTTAATTTTTTTTAATTTTTTGAAAATAGAAACAAGATGAACGAAAAATTGGAAAAATTGATCACACCTCGTGTTAAAACGATATTTTATACTGACATTACTGTCTGGCGTTTTAACAAAAATTAATTTTTTCGAAAAAATACAAAAAAAATCTCACAATTTTTCACACAATATCTCGATCACTTCGACATGTAACATACACATTCAGATACAACACTCGATCACTTCAACGTATAACATACACATACAAATAACTTACCAGACATATATTTTATTTCATTCAAACAAACAATGAAATATACATTGTATATATAGTTTGCTGGCTTAGAAACATGAATTTTCAAAATTCTCTGAGGTCTTAAAACTTCAAGGCGGATTTTTGTTTTTGTTTTAGAGTACATTAATGTAAGATATTTTAAATGAAGATGTAAGTAGATGGATATGCTATATATTACGGTTTATGTGGAGTGTGTGTGTGTGCGTGTGTGTGTGTGTGTGTGTGTGTGTGTGTGTGTGTGTGTGTGTGTGTGTGTGTGTGTGTGTGTGTGTGTGAGTGTATATTTCCCTACCCATAACAAATCAGTACATATTTTGAAAAAATTTGGACCAAATATAGAAAACAAAAAGAAAATGATTATTTTATTAAATAATAAAATGATAAGGTTAGCACTTCATGTAAAATGTGATGGCATAAATAAAGCTTTAATGTATTAATATCACAATGCCATATTAATTTAATGAAATATTGATGTTATATGATAATATGCTGATGTAATTAAACGATGTATGGATGTTATTTGGCATTCGTCTCAATTAGCCCATTATTTCAAATGTATTTATGTAAATGTATGTAACAGTTTTGTCTGAATTCCACCAAATTGTTGGCATTAATGAATTAATTGATTAATGCCAACAATTTCAAATTGTTGGCATTAATGAATTAATTGATTAATGCCAACAATTTGGTAAAATTCATACAGTACTGTATTAAATATGGTCTCCTTCCAACATATGTATGTATGCATGCATGTATGTATGTATGCATGTGTGTGTGTATGTATGTATGTATGTATGCGTGTGTGTGTGTGTATGTATATGTATGATGTGTGCGTATATGCGCGTGCGTATGTTTGTTTGTTTGTTTGTATGTATGTATGTATGTATGTATGCATGTATGTATGTATGTATGTATGTATGTATGTATGTATGTATGTATGTATGTATGTATGTATGTATGTATGTATGTATGTATGTATGTATGTATGTATGTATGTATGTATGCATGTATGTATGTTTTTGGTTGGCCAAATATAAAGGCAAATAGACTCATTCTCTCACCTCATTTTGCTTGGTTATTCACTCCCATTTCAGTCATCTAACATATTTTTAAATTGCGTTTTTTGGTTTATTTTTGTTAAACAATTTACGTAAATTTATTTTCAATTAATTTAATTATTATTTTATTAAATATTACTATTGCCAAATGAGCATTTATGCAACGGTGATGTGATCAGATGACAATGTGATAATTAAAGGAGAGTAATTAAATTAGCGATAATTTGGAATTATTGATAACAAAATTGTTAACTAATGTTTATTTGATATTTAATTGAATGAAAACGGATTCTATCCAATTAGGATAAAATGAATAATGAACTGGGATGCTAGCATTGCGAAAATGATTCACAGTTTAACTGAATGAAACGTCTTAAATGATGCATTTTCTCATTCGGCAATCTTGTTTTTTCAACTAAATTTTTTTTTTTCATAAAATCCAGGCGTTTGAAGATGAGTTAAAAATAGATAATCTAAATGTTATTAACTATACTGTTTTTTAAAAAAAAGATAGATCTGAGGTGTTTGATAAATTTAATTTAAAAGAAAATAACGTCAAACTGATAAGATTTAATACTTGAGACTGAACTCTAACCTTAAAAATTGCCGTTAATATGAAACAACTTGAAAGATGATAAAGTCACCCATTTGAAGAACACCCAAGACCAAAGATACAATACAATTTCTTGCCCTCTAGGACAACCAGCCAGCTGATAAAATGAGTGCTCCGAATAGCATCATTCAAATGAACGACAGTTTCTTATTGGAAATAAAACACGTTTGTCTCTTTAAGAGTTCTATCGACCATTACAACTACAATAGTAACAACAAAGCCAAACATTTTCGGCTTTTGGGAAATAACCAAACCAACTTCACTGATTTTGACATTATATCCAGTGTTACGAACATCAACAACATTAATAGTAGTAGTGGGATGAAGTATTTCAGACACGAGTATCACTACAACGAGAATTTCTTAAGTAATTTGAGATTGTTCTTTGATAAGTATTTGATACTCGGACTCATTGTTGTTGGTATTGTTACGAACGTCGCGTCGTTTAGCGTTCTACAAGTTATGAAGAAGAGGAAGATTTGTAACGTGGCTACTCTCTTGCAGGTTTGTTTTGTTGCTGTTAGTGTTGTTGTTGTTTGTTGTTGTTTGTTGCTGTTGTTGCTGATGTTGTTGTTGTTGCAGTTGTTGCAGCTGTCGACGTTCTAGATGTTTTTATAAGTTTTGGTTTGAGAAAATATTTCAAGTATTTTTGTGTGTTTGATTGTTCATTTTGCTAGAAATGTT